CGTAACAAGTGTGTACCAGAAATAGAAACAAGGCGTCTGCCAGGAAGAGCCCAAGATAGATAATATCAGAAGAATTCCCACTCCCATTGAAGTCTTATGATGAAATGTCCCTAATGAAAACAAGACGAGCGTACGTACTACGTCATCGTGACGTCACAGGGACGGGCGGGCGACCATCAATTACCCGCATTTACCCGCTGCGAGTACCGAGTATGGGCGGGAATACAGCGCCTATCGTACGGGAGAATCAATACTCGTGCACATGCTTGAGTAACTAATATACATGGAAACTGTGCGCTCATAAATACCCGCAATCCGCCTTTGGGACTCAATGGACATCGGAACAGGACTGAAAATCTACCACCATGCACGAGAACGAAGAGCCGTTGGGTACCCGAGGTACGGAAACGCTTGGGCGTAACACCACTTCCAAACAGGCCGGTGTGTTGACGGCACACAGGGGCCTGCGATACGGGCAGCGTACCGACCAGGATCGGGCTTAATCCAGAGGATTAAACAATGGTACGGACAGTTCATTTTTGTAGTTTAAGCTACTAGTGATGCACATATGTATATAAACTGCAGTGCTGAATGTTGTGAAGACTGAAGGGAGCATGTCAGTGAAACATTTTAGCTTATGGCTCGTTGCCATTTCTGTTGTCTTGGCGACGAACGTTACGAGAGAAGCAAGCGGTGGCCGAATCCCAAAAAGGACTGCGAGCATCGACAGTCTTCTACAATCCCTGGATAACAAACAAGTGCAGTTTGAAGGGCTGATGAACCGGCTGGAGGAGCAGCTCAACATCAGTATCAACAGAACAGATGAGAGTACTACAGGTAGGCTCGTCAATTATAATCATACTTTATTGTACATTAAGGCTCTATCGAGCTCAGTTAGGCATTCAAAATGCATTGAAGTAGCCATAAAGTACATGTACATGTATTGACAGGACCATTATTATAAATAATCTTTGAAATGGGTTCTACCACTGCTCCAATACATAAGTTCGGCTTTAATGATCATCTTAACAAAACCACATTTATGAACATTTCAAAAGAACATTATTTATTTTTCGACTCTTATAATTCGGCCAGGTGCCCTAAGGTACAACATTTAAAGACCAAAATCGAGATCTTCTCTAGAAAGTGTTGAACACCTAGACACCTCGGCGATTGCCTCTGCTGCATTTCTAGATCGCTTTGAATTGGCCGTTTTTTGTTTCATGTCACTGTGCTGGGTGGAATGATGTCGTCACAAAAGCTAATACGTGATGCATGTACAAAAATTCCCAAAAAGATATATTAAATCGACATGTATCGGACTGTAGCGTATCCAGTGATGCTGTTTGGTGCTTCCATCGCACGGATTGTGCAGGTTGTACGCACAGTCAAGCCGGGCTCTGCGTACGTCTTGTTTTGCTGGAGCTTACCTAACTCGTTAAGGCCCCCTTTCAACTGCTAAGCGACCCAATATTGGATTTGTATGTAATCATATTCGGAATATGAAGCACCATGGAGGTAAAAGAGAAATCTCATTTTTCTACCTCCATGGAAGCACGAAGTATGATTTAAAAGACAAAGAACGCACAAAACACAAATAGATTCGCTCCTTACTAGTATCTATCTATGAAATATTTGTTTCCTCGTGGGTCGGTCATCGGTCGCAGCCTCCAGTGGGATGGGGTGTGCTAATAACCTAGGACTGATTTATTTAAAAGCCTTGTACTATTTTGTAGTTGATCGCATCCAAGAAAGGTTAAATTTCACCCTTTCTGGCCAGTTCTTCCCTCTGTGCGCCCTGGATCTGTAACCCATGTAATGGATCAGAGTCTCCAGTGTGATGGCTGTCTGGTGACTTTTATCTCATTGCCTCTCTAGACTTCACTCGAGTCGCGAGAAGGGTTTTCTATTTCACCTAAATGGCTCATGCTTCCGACAAAGACAGTAATCTTCGCTAAAAGCTAGGCTGAACGCTAGGGGATATACTATAAGCTTAGATATGAACATCAAATTTTCAAAATAGATGATTGGCCTCGCACAGATGTTTTCAATGATGTAAATTTATTCCTATATACGTTTGTTTCATATGAATCTTGCCAATGTATCAGATGTTCATGTTCTTACCATGCTATATATAAGTTTTTTTTTTTACATTTGCATGCAGAACGTTAACGTTTCGTTGTTTTCATTAGATTTTTGCTAACATTTGTAAATATATGAGAAAATCTCTATGATAATTTGAAAAAAAATCATCGCGTCAATCGCGTCATATTTTTACAACCTCTGAAGTGTTTTGTTTACAAGGTGGTTGAAATTCCAAACCAACCTGTGAATCGTTCGCGCGGCAGATTCCCCATGTTGTTCCATAACTAACACACCTTGTTATCGAATCGTTCTGCCCCATGGCGCCTGCTGTTAGATATGAAAAGCTTATTGAATCGCCTCGGGACGGAGCAAATCAAATGAAGCGCGCTCTCTTCGCCATCTGGATTAGCGGCATGAACTCTACATGGACCGGCATACGTTGTAACGAGCCGTCTGATTTGTCCTCATAGGGTAATAAGTTGTAACAAGCTCTCTAATTCGTCCCCTTGATGACTACACCATGTTTCTAATGCTTAGGGAGAGGAGATTTATGTATTTGTGCCGGAAGGTGGCAATACTATGTCCTTTGTGAAACGCTGGGACCATATTAAGGATTTAGATGAATATCTGATGTCTACACGAAACGACGATGATTTTCTTACCATTTGTAAAAAATGATGTTATCTCCATCCCTGCTGCGCTTCACTAAAATACAAATAACTGCGTCGTGAAAACGCTCTATATATATTTCTGTCTTTAGAATTATCACCTATTACACGAACACTTATTTCTTACACACGGCTACAGCTCTATTGAATCTAATGTACATTAGGAGATTCACAGAAAAGCCGTGGGTGTCTAAACTGGCCTTGGTGGAACAGAATGTACCGAATGGTGGTGATTTCAGAATGCACATTGTAGTCACCATGAGATGGACTTCCGACGCTCTCCATGGTAGAAGTCCGGGAACCATGAGTTGTTTCTAACGGGCTCGCCTTACCACCTTACTGCCTGTCAGCCTTTGTAAAACGGTTAACGTTTGAGATGCACGCCTGAATGCGAGATTTTCAGGCTTCTGCTCGCCAGGACACGGTGGCATGGGAATGTGAAGATATCCTTCATTCCTTGTGTATAGCTGGCGCCACATTTCTTCTAATACAACATTCACACAACTAATGCCGTGATTTCTACATGACGAATCGATGCTTAACACGGTGCATCAAGACGCTGGCTTAACACATCATAGTGACTGCCTTGCCGCCCGGGCTAGTCTTTCCCCTGTATTACTTTTACATGCAGACACAAACGTGCTCACAGTGATGCGACACGACGGAAATCCACGCATGTGAGTTGCTGATAAAGCCACGGTTTGAACTGCAGCATTCATCTCACCAGCACACAGTGAATGTCTGCTTGGTGTAGGGCTTCTCGCTTTGACGTGCTGTGAGTCCATCGATGATTACAAAGAAAGAATATAAAATCGGTTCAAACAGATAAGATGTCCTGAACACCGAATGCCTTGTGGTGTTTCATCCTGCCGAGAATGCTTGGGGTGTTTTTGTTCATGAGCGTGTGGGAAGCGTTACTCAGCCGAAGATAAGTGTTGCTGTTAGTCGCTGGGTGCATACATGTGCAAATGGATTTTCTGCAGGACTGTACATAATGTCAACTCTCATAAATCCGCCGGGTACCATGTAAAAAAACCGGCACTTTAGAGTAAAACGATGTTTGAGGCTTTCTGAAGAATGTCTTGCAATTGAACACCATAATATCTGAGGTGTGCATACCTCGGGATTAATGATGCTGCATTCTTTCAGATCTCTTGAAATCCACCATGTTTTGTAATCTTTTTTTTTTCAAACTTCTTTTTTTTTAACTTCTCTATTCGTTTACGTGAAGGTTATGGGCACCTGTCGGATCTATATGATGGATATGCGTACGGCCTCTTTACATATACGTCGCGAATTGGCGCTCAAATATATAGTTTTTGTGATGAGAGTCACGTTAAACACGTTGGCAGCAGAATTACTTTCCCCTAATGTGCCATTATTGATGACATGGATTATTATAGACTTAAAAGAAGCAGAGCCTCTCCCGCCGCCGGCAGATGTCGTCACTCCATATTGCTTTTTAAGCTTCTACATCATCGCAGCAATGTATATGGGAGAAACCCAATGAATTACCGGAATGAAGACATCACCTGTGTAACTTGCTGACATGTTGGTTTCAACCGCTCGGACCCCGCTCAGGGAGTCATTGCTGCAGGATCGCGATACCACAGATGAAGAAACGAAAAGCTTCTAGATCTCTTACCACCTGCAGATTCAATAAATAATGTATGGCTTTTAAACCTTCTACATAGTAACAATGCATCAGAGAGACCAAACGTTTACCATCAATTACTAGAGCCAAGGCACCTTCTCTAATGTAGTGTGGTTTAAGCCGCTTATGCAGTCTTTGCAATATGATTAGGGAACGATGCTATCTTTGAAACAAGCTTATGTTACCCTATTAAGGTAAGAAGGCATAAAATATCACCGTTTCAATCATTTATTCATACATGCCATTAGAAGATGTCCACGTGTATGCAAAGCACCACACACACATTATACGGGTGTAAAGAAAATCTCTCAACGGTCTTTTAGCTTACAGCTTGATGATCTTTAATGTCTTCCACTGATCTCTCAGTATGTTTAAACAACCCCATGACCAATTTATTTTGGTCTGACTTTTTTTCTTTGATTGCCCTGCGGTTTTCGTCCTAAAGATGTGGAAATGAGGTATCATTAACACTAATGTTGTATCCATGAATGACTTCCCCATGCAGGTTTTCCTTAGTTCTGACATGTATTTTGTATTTATAAGCTGCAGCAGATGGAGCGATGCGACCCCGCTCTACCAGTCACGACATCCGGGAGCTGCTCAACAGCCTGGCGGAGAAACAGGACCAGTTCGAGGATCTTCTGTGGAGGCTGGAGCTTCTACTGGGTATGGCGCCTGTTCTCGTAAATTTAACGCCTTATATGTATACCGAATCATAATGGGTACGGGGCCTGCATTCAGCTACATAAAACGTTAACCTCCCGTGGGTCTCCAACGCCTGAGTATCAGAACTGCGCATACCTTAGGAATACCAAGGACGTCCTTGGGAATACCTATGATGCGTAAATAGATCTCCTTCAATCTAGTTTCTTCTGTGTAACTTGGCGATGTAAGGTACACGTTGGAATTAAGAGAGTTGGAGCTACCTAGTTGTTTGGATTATATATTGAGCTTCAACAACGAGCAAGTCAGGTCTGTACAAACATGGTAAATAATTCAGCTTTTCAATTACTGCGCGCAATTAAGATTTGATGGGATGCCGTAGGAAAGAAAAGTGTACACTATCACTAATTTCTAGATAGCCATCAATACACTTGCGTGCGTTTCTTATTTCAGATTCTGACGAAATAGAAGACATGCCACAAAACGTGACGTCGTCATATCTGAACGACACCTCTGGCTTCATGCCCGGGAACTTAACGGAAGCGGAAGTGAGGTCAACCGGAGAGCATGACCCCGTGACAAAGACAATGGTAACCATGGTGATTTTCATCAGTTTGATCGTGTACGCCATGATCATCAAAGGGATTCTCTTCTGCAAGGAACTTCAGAAACACTGGTGAAAAAGTGCTGTGATAAATCGATTGTTATCATAAGAATTATAACAAACCAAATTGTTTATCGCATTTTTGTGTGCGGACATCAAGCACCAAGACAATGAGTTGGTCACTATAGCTAGCACAATTGCAAACAATAATGAGAGAAGTTTTTGTCTTATATCCTTTCGAATACCGGCTATTGTTGCTCACCCGACATTCCGGCAACTGAAAGGGCCGTTAAGCTGAGGTCCACTGTTAATAGTTGTCGAAAAGAGCGAGGAGAATTTCACCATTACAGTGGGCCTGTAAATACTGTACAAAACGCCTGTCACGGCTAGTGAAAGCTCTTCAGTGGGGTGAACTGGTTCTAGATCACTTAAACCATTTCTGTATAAATACGTTTTGATAGGTATGTACATGTAATCCCATTTATATGATATGAACTTATGAAGTGATATTTATTTTACAACGTTGAATTGTCCCATACTGCACTACTGCATACTAGATGTCGAGGTGGACGTACATAATTGTGGCTGTGTACGTCACTGCGGCAGACAAGTGCCACACAGTTATCTACCTAGTACATGTACAGTCATTAAGGATGACTGAGAAAGTCCAGAAGTGTCTGTATTCCAGCTTGTTTCACACGCCTCTACCTGTGATGCCCATTCGTGTAACTCAAATGTTGCCATTGAAATTTGTAAAATGGTGGTTTTCGACCCATTTTTCCTAATAAAAACGAATCATCAATGTGGTGTTGAAGACAATATGACGATGCTGTATCATAAGATTGTAATGCACCAGCAAGACCACGCAGTCTCAATTTCTTGGAAAAAAATGAATTGGTGTAGCCTAAGTTTTCATAAGTATAACTGCAGTTTTAATGGTGATTCATCAACAAGATTGCATTCTCACATTTGCAGTCCATACATGAAAACTGAAGACGTCGCGTGATTTAACATCAATAAAACTACTAGCAACTCAAGCCAAACACTCCTCATGTGTCTAACGCACCATGTTATCACGTCCCTCAGCCAGCGGCTGTCTAGACGTTTTAAGTCCCAGTGTGCATCATCGCACCTTATCCACTCCACTTGAGACGGCAGTCCAATGGTCGCCTTGGTAACGCCTATGTCAAGAGACTTTCTACCGTCGCACGGCGCAACTATTCATGGATACAGTCGATGGTAATGTATTCCCGCCGCACAATAATAATTATATTGTACCTGCTTGCGTGATGTTGGTATTATAATGGTGACCCTCCTGAGCGAGGTTTGGTGAGCTCAAATGGCGGATGAGGTAGGGTATTTTGACGGACATCCTGATGAAATAATTGAGTACTGCACTCGAAGTTTTAGTAAAAAATCATTTTTGGATTTTATTTTGTTAGTTAACAAGTAATATCTAAAAAATGTAAGCCCCACCCCAACCAAGGGAAGCAAATTCCTGATGGATAAAAGATGCTTTATCATTTTTATACCATTACCCCAATACCTAAAGACCTTAAGCACCAAGCACAAAATCTGAGATGTACATCCACAAAGAGTTGAGAACATTCGTTTGTAAAGATACGGAGTACAATGGAGTACTGTAAGTTCACACAGCACCTACAGTTTGCACCACTATAGCCGAAAATCAGTATTTCAACCAGGTTTTAATTTTCTCCCAAGTTCAGTGGACCTGGAGGCACTGTAAAAGTGAAGGCACAGTTTTTAAGCTATGACTGAACTGTTGGTATCCAATTATAAAAAGTTATAGTAATATAAATTAACTTGACTGGCATATTATCTTGATCTTTTGGCCTTTGTTATCCACCACCATGACTTCCAGTGGTGTAATTGAAATTCATCCACTGTATTGCAGCAACAGCCTAGCAAGTAGATTGCTCACTTTTCAGTTTAATTCTCTGACTACCAAAGTCATACCAAAAAT